ACCTTTGCAGAAAGAAATGTTGGCAGTGGTTTTTGGATAGGAGAAGGGAGAGACTTTGGTAGGAGATGCTCCCTTCCGGATTCGAACACGGCCTGGGATTTTGGTGGCTTTAAAGAAAGGCCCACCTGCGGGATCTCCACATCAAACCCGATGGCTGAAGTGGAGTTTGCAGTTGGCAGGATACCTGCATTGGGAGGCGGGGAGCATGCTAAAAAAGCCAGTACTCCCATGGTTAGAGACCCCTACAGATGGGGAGATCATAAACCCCATAAAATGTCCTGACAGTTTCGATCTGGCCAACCCCCATGCTCTGTTTACTGATGAGGCAGCTGAAGGCCCAGTAGCAACTTGGGCCTGGTACTGCCCTTTCTCGGAGGAATATGGGAAGGGGGACTTAAAGGGGAGCGCCCAGTTCGCAGAATTGAAGGCAGTGGAAGAAGCTGGGGGTCGGGCTAGAAGATCTACTAGGTCCCTTCTGACCTTTAATCTATGAATTTAATCTATGAAAAAGCAATTGCTTATGGGATCAAGCAGGGTTGGAAAGAAGTGAGGGTATACACTGATAGTTGGGTATGCACGAATGGGGCTAGTGAGTGGATTCCCTATTGGGAGAAGGCTGGATGGCACATGAAAGGTAGGCCAGTTTGGAGAATGAAGGATCAAATCAAAGTGGCCATCCGGCATGTGGCCGGGCATCAGAAAGATGATTCGCCAGAGGCTTGTTGTAATGATTTCTGTGTGTGTTATTGATTTTTCCTCATAATAAAGAGTGGCACTTGGGTTTTACTTGGTGTGTGACTTGTGAGTTACTCACCTACCCCTTTTGGGAAGGGAGGGAGTCCCTATCAGTCATCTAGTTAAATCTCCTGCCCTGAGGTAGGATCATCCCTATTCAAACTATCCAATGCAAATCCATTGTCTAACCTCCTAGCAAAACTACACAGTCAACCCTGTCACAAAACCCAGAACATAACACCCTGATCTTCCACAGGTAAAGCAAGGGGACAACAACAGCCAACATCCTGCCGCTGCAAAGATTGTTAAAATATGCTCTAGAGATCCCAGGAGAGGGCCGCTTACAGAAGAAGGTAAAAACAGCCAAAGTCCACCATAGGATAAAATCCCTTTCTGAGCCCAAATATAGTTATCAGTCTGGCTCTGAGCAAAGGGACAATACCCCCCAGCCAGGAACCTCTGCATTTAAGTCCCAGCAGAAGCATGGTTACACCTCTGTCAAAATCCCCAGCCTTCACTGCAGCCAGCACCCCATGTGCTTCTGAGGAAGGCTTATAAAAACTCCTGACATGTAGCAGCAGGAGGAGAAAAAAATCCCTCCTGGCCCCATGCAGCAACCAGCAAAGCCCAGAAGAAGCCCAGAAGCATAAGAAATACCCATAGTAGAACATAGTCATAGCTACACCTAGATCCCTGACCACTCACTGTCTATCCAACCTTTTCTTGACCACCTCCACTGATGAAGATTCCACAACTTCCCCAGGCAATCTATTCCAATGCCTCACAGCTCTAACAGTGAACATGTTTTTCCTAATATACCATCTAAACCTAACTTTGCTGCAACTTCCAGCCATTGGTCCATGTTCTACTCTGTGCAGCAAGACAGAAAAGGTATTTTCCCTCTTCTTGATGTCAGCCCTTCAGGTATTTGAAGACTTATCATCTCCCTTTTTAAAGCACCTTTCCCACAAGCTGAACATGCCTGTTTCCTTCAACCTCTCCTTGTATGGCTTATCTTCCAAGTGGACTGAAGCATGGAGTGCACACAATGCTTTATGCTCATAGTGCAAAGAGAGAGGAGAGGCAGGATACAAGTATGTAGTACAGAAGCTACTAATTAAAAGCTTCTGAGCTCAAATGTATAAAGGACATGTACTTATAAACTAGCATTTGAAGAAGGAAGTTTAACTGGAATATTTTATTTCATTACAAAATATTAACATTAAATCTTCTGTTTAAATAGAAACTTTATTTTCATGAATCCTCAATGCTGAATTGAATTTTACCCGATTCCGTTTTCAATATAAATCTCACCTGATCAACCGGAAAGACTTTTATCCTTTCACTTCCCAGCCACTTTTGAAATTCATATTTCCAGTTCTTTACCAGACTCCCAGGAGTGACAATTAAGACACGCTTTATTATAGGTTTGCATCCATAAAGCCCCTGACGCAGGAGAGTCCAGACTAATGAAATACACTGCAATGTTTTTCCTAAACCCATTTCATCAGCAAGAATGGCTCCAAACCTGTCACTAACTCTGTAAGAAATAATCACACTGTAGTAAGACTTTAAAGTAAATCCTATAATTATCTGTAATCGGGTTTTGGGAATCTGTTTTTAGGTATATACAAATATTTATTTTTACTACAATCAGTTGTACTTTTTATTCAGTTAAACCAAAGAGATTCTTTTTGCTTATATAAAACTCATGTTCATTACTAAACTTGCATATCAAACTTTCAAAATGTTTATTTTAGTTTACCTTAACACATACTTTAAGAAGCTTTAAATAAAAAAGGATGAGATAAAAATGTAGAAAACAAAAATAGTAGTTTTTCAGCAGATGATGTATAAAGCTATGCTTATTCCTCTCTGTAAATTTCTGAAGTATCAAGAAACAGTGCACTTTGCCTTTGGTCAGGAGATATTAAAGTTAAAAAAATATTCAGGTCTTTCACATGTAACATGGATATACAAAATGCTCCTAAGTTTTTGTGTGTTTGCTTCAAACAAAACTAAAAGTTAAGACAATTAAAATGAAAACAAATATCCTACCTCATTCCCATTACACATTCATACAGAAATACAATCCCTTCTTTCTGGTGTGGTCGAAGATGATTTACAATGTAAGGATCCACAACTACATCAATCACAGGTAAACCAGCCTTATTGAACATCTGTTGGTGACTTGGGTTTGGACGTGGCATAACTAACGAATCTTAAAGTTCAAAACATACAAAAGATGTTGTAACAGATCATGTGTTTCTACTTCCTAAACATAATATATTGTTTTTCCTATATAAGGAAAAATTAGAGCTGCTTTGTTACACATGAATATCATGATACACTCGGGTCCCTCTATGCGAGGGCTGCATTCCAAAAAAACCATTATAAAGTAAATTTGCATAAAGTGAATCCATTATTACATGTAACATATCAGCCTCACTCTACTCTCCCCCCTTCCCCCCCGCAACCATGACAAATTCACACAATACAATAACTGCTGCAGGGAGAGGCTGTGAGCTCCACGCTGCAAGGAGCAGCATGCACAGGGGGTGCATCGCCAGCGCAGTGCGGGGCGGGGTGGAGAGGCACCCAGGGGAGGGAAGCAGGGCAGTAAGGAATGCTGGCTGCTCGCTGCTCCTGGCTCTGCCCTGCTTCCCTTCCCCGGGTGCCTCTTCAGCCCAGCAGGTGCGATCTGGTGTGGCTTGGAACAGTGGGGCTGCATGCAGAGGCTACAAGCTTCCTGCTGCACCAGGTCATGCCTGCCGGGCTACGGAGGCACCCGGGGCAGGGTAGCGGGAAACAGCGGGGCTCATTGCCAACCGACTTCGCATAAGATCGGATTTTTCTTGCACAAAGTGAATTTCTGGTATAAATAAGGTTGTCGCATATAAGTGAATTCGCACAGAATGAATTTGTACGAAGAGAGACCCGGGTGTAATTCTGTAAATAATAAAAAACTTTACACCTTAAAGGATTCCAAAGTGTTTTACAAATTTACTGAATATGAAATGCAACACACTGACAAGGTTTGAAATAATTTTTTACATAACATACCACTCCACTATTCTATTTTAGATTACTACTTGACTGAATATGTAGCATGAACCAAAGGAGGCTATAAGAGAGTCACTGAAAGAAAGTTATAAACCAGTGGTGCCAAACCTTTCCCCCACCCTCAGGCTGGATGGACAATGCTTATTCTGTCTGCAGGCCATATTGTCAAGGGGGCCATTCTGGCATGTGGAGCAGCAAGGCGGAGCCTGATCCAGTCACGTGGTGGGGAAGCGGAGTGTTAATACAACATCTACACACTTGGCTGCTTTTTCCAAGTCTACATATCCTGGCCTGGCCCTGATGCAGCTATACAGTGTAAAAGGGGCATGGCCCAGCCCCGCGGGTGGGATGGGCAAGGGGACATGGCTCAGGCTCTATGTAGTTGTTTGGGTGGAAGGGCAAGGCCCAACACCAATCCAGCTATGCAGGTCTTGGGAATCTGGCAGTGGCAGAGGGGCGGCAGTATTAACTTGCCACTACTCCCCCACCACCAAATTTTCTGACCTTTGGGGAGCTCCCTGGGCCAGATACAAAGGCTCTGTGGGCCACATTTGGTCCACAGGCCAGAGGTTGAGCACCCCTGATTTATTAAACAGTGGCCTACTTAAGCAGTAATCCTTCCAACAAAATATTCAGGTTTATAACTATGAAGAGGATATCTTCTGCTCTATCAGTAGGGACA